TTTCGAATGAATGAGTACGCGCAGGGGCGAATCTAAAATTTTTTCAAGGGGGGCGGATTTTCAAAAAAAAATCGAAAATTTTGACGTTTTTTTTTAGATCGACCAAATTGATTTTCAGAGCTCTCCTAAGCACTAAAAAGACGCTGTTTTGGCAAATTTTCTGTGCCGCAGGCAAATTTTTGAAAAAACTGGTCAAAAAAGCCTTTTGCCGTTTTTGGGCACTTTTTGGGCTCCCCCTCAGAATTAGTATTATTGGCGCCAAAGGCGCCTTTAGAAAAATTTCAGGGTCAGTCGGCCAAAAATGGATTTCTTAAAAAGTACCAAAGGGGGGACGCTTTGGGTCGGCAGGGTGTCGAATCCCTGAAAAGGCGCATCAGCAACCCCCCCCCCCCGCCCCCCACTAAATCCGCCCCTGAATACGCGCCTAAATCATAAAGTTACCATGATGCTCTTCCACACAATGTGCTGCAGTGAGAGCCCAATCCTTATCCACGATAGCTGCTCCACAGTAGTCAGTGGAATCTCTGACTCTGAGAGCTGCGAAGAGCCTTCTATTATCAACTGCAGGTATCCCGTTGATTATGAACGAGTTCAAGAGATTATTGAATCCGTTCTGGGGTAAATTTATAGGTTCAGTTGAAGTTTTAGCAAAAATTAAAACAGCAGATAAGACGACATTAATCTTCAATGATTGCATGGCTGTGATATTTCAATGCGTGTCAATATTGATTGAATTCGTTACAGATTTGCTACAGACGGCGGTAATAACATTTGATCTGATTGTCTGATTGACCTCGCTGACTTGAGCAGTTTCTTAAAAGTCGATTCAAATACCACTTAAAGTTCAACAAGTCAAGGATCAGCCTTCATTCATCAGCATCAAGATGCTGTAATTACGTAGTACCCGGGTCGAGGTGCTCGATATACGTTTTGTCTTTCTCGACAAAAAATTGGGATATTTCGACCGTCTCGACCAAACTTTGGTATGGTTCGACTTTCTTGGCCGAACAAAAAATAATTTTTGACTTTGATCGACCTTGCTCAGATATGTTTCAGCTTTCTTGACTGTCTCGGTCGACGTTTTTCTCAAACTTGTTTGTTGACCCCGCATAGATATATTTCGACTTTCTCGTCCAAAAATGGCTATGCGTCCAGTACTCAACTTGCTCGACAGACAAAAAAAATTGAATTATCCCTCTACAAGCAAAACAAAAAACAAAAAGATAATAGCGTAATACCAACCACGCAGCAGGCTTCAAATAATTTTGGAATGATTTTGAGTTGGTATAATTAACAGCTAGTAAGCAAGGAGGTAAATTACTCGACCAAGTTTGACCTATGATTCGACACTGTTCGACCCATGATTCGTTCTTGTTCGGTATGATTCGATCATGCTGATCCAAGGTCGAATTTTCTTGACTAAAACATTCGCTCGACCGTCTCAATCTGCGACAATTGGACATCAATCAACCGTTTTAGTCGAATCATGAGTCGATCACGTAAGCCTGGCGTTTTCTGAAAAAAAAAAACTGTAATGATGATCTAAGTTTTAGCAGCGACGAGATTCATAATGTTTGTCCTTCGAATAACTGCTATATTAAAATAATGACTGATATTTTTTTGATGAGCGTTTCTCTTGATTGTTTTTTAGTTTTCTGTTTTTGTGGTGACGATTTTGTCGCTGCCCCAAAAACTTAGCTAATGTTTTTTGGACTATGTGTAGGCTTCTCATGTCGTTTCTGTATACA